CTATTAAAAGTAGTTTCTCGGAAACTGGTATGACTATGGTCTTCAAATTTTACACGAACAACTTTGACACATATATGAATACAGGGGGAAAATGAAATGGAACTAACATTAGTGGGTCTCCCACGCCTATTATGCTAGTCAATACCAAATGACATAATTTTGGAAAACTACAACAGCTACAGTTCCCAAATTTTGTATGATAAACTTGTGTCAATATGAAAATTTTGTGCGACAATGAGCTGATAAGATAATGGGTGTGTCATCCCCATATAAAGTTAGTACCAAAATTCGTAAATCCGGGAAACTATAAAACTTTGAGTGCTTAAATTGCGTCCGACCTACTTTGATATCAATATGACTATTTAAGACAAATATGGGCGGACTAGAAAAAAGGAGTCGTAGTACTTCCTATATAAATACAAAAATTCGTATATTGGAGAAACTATTGGAGCTAAAATGCTCAAATTTTTCAAAAACAATTTTGACATTCATGTTAGTATTTGCCTAATAAATTGGCTGATCACGGGGGCGTGATCCCTCCCAGAAGAATAAAATAAAAAAATCGTATAATCGGGGCAACTATTGGAGCTAGAATGCTCAAATTTGTCTAATAAATTGGCGGATAACGGAGAAAATCGTATATCTGGGAAACCATTATAGCTAGAATCCTCAAATTTTGCACGAGCAATACTGAAAACCATGCGAACAATTTGCGAAGCAATAACCGGACTAGCAATAGGAGCATAGTACCTCCCATATGAATTAAATTAAACTCAGGTTTCCACCTATTAATTCTGCAACAGATTCCACTAGAAACGGTTTCTTTAGAAGGGGTTCTACTAGTTTGCCGATTAGAGAAAAATCGTAAAGGGTTTTTTATTCATATTGTTACAGGGTAGCGAAGCACACTGGGTATAAATAATGTGTTATAAACTTAACTTGAATATCGGAAGATTATACTATTATTGTCTTTATGAATTATCATTTGCAATCGCAATTTACTCATTTATTAGATTAATGCTGAATTTTATTCGTATTGTGCAATTTTATCTTTATAGGTAGAACAAAAAAGTACCTAAAATTCCCCTTTCAGACATTTTCATTCAATCAGTCAAAATGTACCAGTGGAAGGAGAAAAAAGAGATCACGCTTATAGATTTTCATTCCATTAGGATCCTGATATGCCTGATAATATGTTCAGTATAGCAGAAAAATCAAAAAGTACGAGTTGAATAACGAAGTTCTCCCAATAAATTTACAATATTCATTTATTAATATTTATTCAATTTTTCTTACAACCTTTGATTTTTCTCAATTTCTTTATAATATTTTTCCAATCTTTTACAAGAAATTCCCCCAAAAATATAAATAAAGAAAAATATAAAAACATATTAAACCCATAAAAACTATTCTTAATTTAATTAGAGTTAATGGTACTGGTTTCGCAGACATCTTATGTTTCATATATAATTCCATATCGTTGGTTTTATCGAAATTCGATAGATCATGCATCCATTTGTATAAAATACCAGCAAAATTTAAAGAATGAATTAAACGATTAATCGGCTGTATCAAATAGGAATGATTTCATATAAGCACAAATCTGATTTAGAACCACAACCGTTGATAAAATATCAAATTCACTGTAGCATTTTTTGGACTCTACATACATTTGAAAGTCCCAATAGTTGGTAAGTGTAGCCACATTAGTCGGATAGCTGCGCATTATGTCGTAGATGAAGTAATCCTCTGCCACATCAAGCAGTTGTATCTGCTTAAGGGGAATGTGTAATGACTGTATAAGATCACTATCGAAACTGGATCTTAGTAGGAAGGTATAATTAGCTTTAATCAATTCTTCTAAGTCTTTAATTTTGAGAACGCTGCCACTGTTAAAGGCATTATAGAGACGTCCCTGAAAGGTGGCACAGAGTAGCATGGTGCCAAAAATGCAGACAAAAAATGAAAACTTGATTACATAGGATTTAATGCGTAAAGGTCTAGAATTGCCCAGAGCCAGACCCACAATATCTATCCAGGTAACCGTTCTAGACAAATAGTAGTGAGCTAATTGTACTATAATAACCACTAAAAGTGACTGTAGACCAAGAACTAACCAAGTAATGGGACCAAATGGTTTAATAAGCCAAACTCCCACAAATTCATGACGATTATGTTCACTGATGACCATGACAAGCGGCATAAATGCATACGTAGTACTCTCGGCGAAAAAACGACTTCTGACAGGATAATGATAATAACCCAGTAAAACATCAACCTTGTTTTCATTTAAATAACGAAACGTTCCAACTGAAGTGCCATTTTCATACACTTTACCAACACTATCACTCTTATCGTAATACATAAGCAATTTAAAATTTAACTTTTTGGCCATTATCTGAATCATATTTGCCTCTACGCCTTCAATGTGATCGATTTGTGTACCGTCTTTTGTCAAGTTGAAACGATAAAACAGTGAACTATTCCGAATATACATGGTGAGGGGACAATTGTGAAAATTTCTAAATTTATAGGGAAACAATTCATTATTTTGAAATTGTCCATTACGAAAAAGATTCACTTGTTCCACCACAACTTGGCGACAATGATGAGGATGAAATATATCAAAGGAATATAATTTAAATGTGCCATTTCTTACATACACTGCTACGACAACATCAACTATATTTAATTGAAATGATGTTTCCAATATGGATTTCACCTCTTGGTCCTGATTTAACGGTTTCGCTACATCCATTACTATAAAATATTCACCCATATTTTCATTATAATCGTTTTTAACGGCCACCAATAATGAGCTGAAAAGAAGAATAAAAAGAAAGTTTTTTTTTTTTTGAATTGGTCCCCTAAACGGAACAAAACTTTTCGAACCACTAAAAAAATCTCTCTAATACACATGATTACCAAATAAAACTTACCGAAATCCCTTGTACGAATCAACATACCACAAATTGTGATAGGAAACCTTGGTTACACGTTGATGACGATTCTTGGACTTCATAAAAATTTCATATTTCATAAATTTAGAATGCGTTAAAGCATCCGTTAGGTAATCTGAAACCACATTCTGCCAATATTTCGAATATTCCAAATAAACACCAACGCTCATCATAAATGTTTTCGTTTCATAATATTCCGAAACGGCGGCATCAATAGATCTTTTAGCTCTTAGGAGTTTAAAGTTCCATTGACTAATATTTAATGACTGCACCAATGAAATCCATGAAAAAATTATTATTCCCGCTGACAACTGCATGTTAATTAAACTGCAAGTAAACTATTGGATAATTCTAATGCGTTATATCCTTAAATACCTACATAGAACGAATGCTTCTTATTAATCATACTCATACTTTCGACAAATCAGCATTTTTAATTAGACCATATTTCTTGTAATTTCGAAAACTTTTGTTTAGCTGCAATTATGTAGTTCGTACAGATAATTTTATAATTTTTTTATTAATTAAAATGTAAACAAAGAAAAAAACAAGTTGTTAGTGAAGGTAAGGTGGTAGGTAGGGTAAGTAAGTGAATTTATTAGTAATCTCATTAGCGATTTGTGATATAAAAAGGGTTGAAATTGTAGAAAAATCTAGACTCTATCCTTTCCTCACCGAAAACAAAGCCAAAGAAAAAACAAACAATTTCAATTTAAAGTCTGGAAAAGAAATTAGTAGCGAAATTAAGACAGCTATTGAAAAGATTTTATAAGTATTAGACTTCAGTTATGCCCCAATAGAAGACACAAAAGATACTAATATGGAATCTAAGATGAATATTACGCTCAACTTACAGCCATGCTCAATAAGATTTGAAGAGAAATATCATAATACTCATGAGTGATTCTAAAGTGAAGATAGAAAGTGATAACACCAACATTAGGACTACTATTGGAACGGACGATTGTGTAGTTAGAATCAATAACGTGTAACGTTTAGTTCAACAGTGCCAAACTTATCAACTCATCATAGGTCAAGAAGATAAACAAATATATATACCTAGCGGAAACTCATGTGGACTGATTAACGGATATCAGAAATACAAAAAGGATTATATATCGGTAGTGATTTTGAGCTCATCAATTTATGTCCAGAAGATAGTATCGTCCCGAGCAATATTAAGAGGACTGATGGTATTTGGGCAACAACCATGGTACTTGGACAACAACTTTGGAGACCGTTTTAATAACACATTTTCCTGGCTGTAAATAAACTCTTGGATGTTAAAATCCAACAACAATAAAATACGAGTCCTTTCAGCCATAGAAATGCTCCGGTAACAGATGAAATTGCTCAAGGAATTGTTGACAGTGCATTCATACACTCCGCAGAGCTAGAGAAGGTTGAAAGTTATTTTCAAAATTCAACACAGTGAGTAAAAGGTCCAACTAGTGTATTATCTTACTCATCGAAGTCCCTTGAGAGTATTTTGATCATGGTGTTTTCCATGGGCCAACATTGCCTATATTAAAAGAAAATGAGTAGAAACAGCACTTCATAAACTGGCATCGAATATAAGAAGAATATACACTACAGGCATGGAAAATTTAAATTTTGAAGTAGTACTAACTTATAACAAAATGTGTACTTTTTAGGTACTAAACTACAGAGAAGACTATAGACTAGGCTATAAACTAGACCATATACTAGACTATAGACTAGTCTATATAATAGACTATAAACTTGATTACAGATAATATTATATACCAAACTACAGACTAGACAATATACTAGATATAGACTAGACAATATACTAGACTATGGACTAGGCCATAGACTTGACCATAGACTATACTATAGACTAAACTGTAGACTAGACTATGGACTACACTATATACTAGACTATAGCCTACAGGCTGGTCTACTGACTACTATGTGGACTACTTATCTAAAGTTTATAAATTAGAAAAAGTACTGAAAATGTCGTGGTGTACTGAAAGAAGTACAAGAGCACTAAATTTTCCATGCCTGATACATTACCATGTTTCCTAGATATACTTAGATAAGTCAGAAGTAATAATGCTTACTATGCTTGAATCATGAACGAACGCCATATATAAGCTGAACTAGGCGGTGACGAAAGTAATGAAAGCTGTAGCTCTTAGATGTACACTTCAAGGCGGAGTTCTCGATTCTTGTCCTAAACGAGATATTAATAGATCTTAAGAGAAAATTTTGTAAACATTCTATCTGAGGTTATGGAATGTGCTCCTAAGTAACTAAAAAAAATGGACTACTAAACTTGGACTTGATATTAAAGCTAAAAAAACAGAGATGGTACTTTTCACAAAAAAATTTAATCTATTTTTAACTGTCAGAAAATGAGTTATCGAAAGCCATAGTTAGATCGATTCTGACATATGAATCTATTGTTTGGTGGTCTATAACGAACACACGTAGCCATACATTACTTGTTGAGAGGTCACTTAGATAAACCGGTAATCAAGCAATGTTTGCGATTCTGTGAATTGATCCACTTCACCTACAAATGAAAGACAACACTCTTAGTACTCAAATCAGACTTGAATAGATCGTTTATAAGAAACTTTTATTTCAATTATATTAGGGCGGATTACTATACGTGCCAGATATTATATGAGTCATTCCACCTAGAGATAGCTTGGAGAGAATAAACCACTATTGTATTGAGGATTATAATAGATTTCTAGAAACGCGTACTTCAATCATCAGTTAGTCAATCATTTCTCACAGTAAAATAAGGATGAATACATGAGGCATCCTTATTTTACTGTGAGATATCATGAGTGAAGTCTATTTAGATAGAAATTATCAGAGTCTTTTATGTCAACTTAAAGATTTGAGTTATGCGGATGACATTTGTCAACTCTCACATAAGATCTTCAATATGCAAGCAAAATAGGAAGCCTTTAAAAACGATGACTATTTATACCAGATTTATAGATTTAAGTCTTTAATCATAACAATTTACCAAAGGTTTAAAAGACAAATTTTCATAAAAATTTTGTTCTATAATCCTTTGATAAATTGTTATAAATAAGGCAGATATAGATTATAGGTTTTTATCTGTAGTCTAAATCTATTTTATGATGTTTATTCTCCAGTGATCTTAATGTACTGATGTACTAAATGTAACAGAATTACTATCAGTAACACACACCACCATTCAAAAATTTGTCTCTCCAATATATTTTTAACTTTTATTTAAGTATTTAAATAAAACATCATATGAATAGTTATTGAATTAAACAATTTTTTTTAAATTTATTTCTTTAATATCGTTTGGTGTATATTGACTTTTTTTCAATTTGTACAACAGTAAATGGACTACATATTAGCTTTAGTAACGATCTTAATTACCTGTTTCTTGTTTGTGTTTAATTAAAATTTTATAAATTTGTTTAAACAGAAATTGTTATTTTATCAGAGATTATTAAGCAATAAAATCATATGTATAAAATCGATGTTTCAAGTTGTTGCTTATATGATATATTCATATACATTGTATGTTTTTTGAAATTTAATTTTTGGTACTTATGAATGTGACTACGAACATACATACATATGTATGTAGGTACATTAAAAGGAAAAGAAATTAGATTTCAAAATGACTGAGAGCAGGTTTACGTTATCTTATGAACTATTCCAAGGCCGCTGTTGAATCTATTGTGATTTACATATGCAAAGAATTATCGTAACGATGTGCAAAAACACAGTTTCCGTTATCCTGTATGTTCTGTCAGAACACTTAAGGCTTCTCGCCCTCCTCTTGCTTGGGCCACCCGATATGCTCTTCGTAAAGACATACAGGATTACGGACAAACTTAGGAGAGTGATATCAGACAAATTTGGATCATGCGCAGAAGACATTGATACTCTGGAAGAAAATATACTTGTAAGCTCCGACAACATTAGGGATTTTGGGAACGATGTTATTCAAGTATAAAATCATTCAAGAATAAAGATTCAAACATTTAGAAGAACTACGTACAGGAAACTGAGTTTCTGAACATCGGTAATCACATCAGCATTATAAAAGTTTTGCCCCTGTAAAGGAGCATACGATAGGCCTGCTAATGCCCTAGATATATTTTTCGGATTTTATGTATTAGACATCCTGTTCTCAACCCAATCTAACTTAAATTACAACGTGATCATGACTTTTGTATTGAAGAAATACTTTGACAGTATATTGGAAGACGGGCAGTTCTCAGTGTTCATCTCTTTGAAAGGTCGGATTCTCTTTGACTCTGAATAAGTTAAAGAAGTGTCTGTCATACCCTTTGGATTGTACTGAGCTTAACTCAATATCATATTATTAAATCTTCTTCTTCATCATTCTTGAGATTAGGTATGATGTATTTCCTATTACTAAGAAACCCCTTCTTCACATATTAATTTTTGCCAATAGCTATAGTTATATACTTGATGCATTTACCAGCACGAAAGCCAAGGTATCCTCCGTCTGGACATTTAGATGGGCGAAAAGTTATTCTTCACCGATCTGTTAGCGTTTTATCGTCGATTGATTCGTCTTGAGTTTAGGCCTCAAATTTGAAAAAAAAAACTAATTTAAATGCACTTTATCATAAATTTCTTTATCACAATCATAACTGAACTATCTACCAAATCAACATCTAAAATTTGCTCACAATTTCACAATTTGGTCTCCGATTTAATCAAATTTACTTAGCGGTTATAGTTGAGACCTAAATCACAGACAAAAATGTTTCGGTTATTAACTGAGGTCCCTTCATAGTGCACGTAGCTTCTCCAGTAAAGGGACTGCGATAATAGATAGCTGAAATCCTTGAGCAAAATGGACCGGTGTCAGCTATGTACAAAAATAGTCGCATGTGTGTTCTTTTCTAGTCATAAAGGGGCGATGGTTAATACATAGTTGAAAAATTACCATTCTAGCATAGGTTCCCCCGGGGCATGTTTCCATGATGAAATGTCCCATCATGGTGTATTGCAATCCCGGGGTAAAGAGGTGCTACCAGTACCTCTAGTCTGCCGGGACTATAAACTGGTGGTGTCACTTCACTCCTCGGCTAGTCCTTGGTATCATTTGACATGGGGTCTAACCAGAGATTCACCTAATCTGGTACTACGTGTGGCCAGTTGCCCGCAGGACTATGTCCTGGCTGGTCAGTTAGTTTAGGTTCCTTCGGGATCCACGAAGTGTCTGTGGTTTAAACCCAAATTCGCGGGGAGAGTAAGTGGCGGTTAAAGTACTGATGTAAGTAAAGTCAATATTTCGGGATAAGTTCGGTGC